AAGGAGTGAAATTTCAACAGGGTTGATTTCAGGAGGACGGAGTATAAACAATGCATTATGAAATGTCATAACATGTTAAGTGAACTCCATCCCACCAGTTCTGCCCCTGCGTTTGACCTGTCTGGCCCTTGGGCACATTTGAGTTTCTGATCCCTGCTCCAGATACTCCAGTGTCCTTCAAAGCCTCCCCAATTATTCCTAGGAGTCCCCAGGGTGGTCTCCCAGTGGTGACTCTGCCAGGGTCAGTCTCCCTGTGCTCCCCAGGGTGCAAGGCTCTGGGATTTCAAAGCAATGCTTTTTCCGCAAGTCTACCAGGGGCCAGAGCCATGGTATGTTCCTCCCCACCCTCTGACTCAGTGGCTCAACCCCAATAAAAAAGGTCTTTTTGCTTCTCCCTGAAGCTCTTTCCCCATAAGGTTCAGATGCCAACCTGACCCTAAGCCTCTTCTATGTCGATATTCAGGAGCGTCCATGGGAGGCCACTCCCCGTCTTGCACCCCACGGCCCATGCACCAACCCTCCTTTCAGGCCCCTTGACTTTTAGCCAGATCAATGCACACAGTGGACACTTGCGGGTGACCAGTCCAGTTGAGGCCTCGAATATGTCCACATCCCTTTGGGCTTATCTAGGATGGTGGCATTCCTTGAACACACCCTACTTTGTCATGGGACATCACTATTTTAAGTAAAGGCTGGTTACAACTTGCACTTATTTTATTTCAGATTTTATATCTCTATCACAGAGAAAAATGAGTCTTATAGTTTTCTTTTTAAGTATTAGTATTGGGTTAAAATGAAATAAGAATTTTTTCAGAAGTTTGTAAGGTTGGCAACTTTTAATTTTTGCCTTAAGTTTTTATTTTGAAATAATTTTGGATTTACAAGAAACTCGCAAACGTAGAATCACCATAAACCTTTTACATAGCTTCCCCAAATATTAGCATCATATATAACAAAGCATGGCTATTGAAATCAGAAAATTAATACTGATACAATACTATTAACCAATCTACAGACTTTATTCAAATTTTGCCAATAGTCTCATTAACTGTCCTTTTCCTGGCCCAGGATCAAATCCAGACTCCCTCATTACATTATGTAACTATTATGTGACCATCTATAGCAGACCCTCAGTCTTTGTTTCCCAACCTTGACACTATGGAAGCTTTTGTGGAATGTCCCTCTGTTTGGGTTAGACTTTTCCCATGTTTTATGTACTGAGATATAATTTACAAAGAGCATGCAACTTTTTAAGCAAATATCTCACTTTTTAATACGTATACACCACATAACCACCATCCAGACAAACATACCTACCACCCCCGGGAAAGCTCACTCATGCCCTGTTTCCAGTTAAACTGTTCTCCTCCCTCAAGACACCCACCATTCTGACTCCTAATCTCCCTAGACTAGTTTGCTGATTCCTAAACTTCACATAAATGGAATCATGCAGTATATTCTCTTTTGTGTCTGGCTGCTTTTACTCAACATGGTGTTTGTGAAATTCAACCATGCTGATACATGCATCCGAAATTTATTCCTTTGCATTGCTGAGTAGCATTCCATTGTATGAACATCCTATGATATTTTTAATGTATTATACTAATAAAGTTGTTGTGCCATTGTACACTCCTACAAGCAATATATGAAGTGTTCCAGTTGCTCTACATCCTTGTCAGCACTTGCTGTTTTTGGTCTTAATTTTAGCTATTCTAATGGCTGTAAAGAGGTAGCTCCTAACTTTCCAATGACTAAACATTTGAGCAGTTTTTCAAGTGTTTAATAGCTATTCGTATAACTCCCAGTTAAACTGCTCCTCTCCCCCATGATACCCACCATTCTGACTCCTAATCGCCATAGACTAGTGTGCTGGTTCTTGAACTTCATATAAATGGAAGTGTCCAAGTCTTTTGCCCATTTAAAAATTGCATTGCTTGTCTTTGTTACTTTTGAGTTGTAGGAGTTCTTTACATATTCTGGATATAAGTTACTTGTATACTTGTATAAGTTACTTCTGGATATAAGTTACTTGGATATAAGTGACACCAGTTTCTGGTGAAGTGAAAGTGGATAGATAGTAAAGATGAAAGTGGATAGATAGTAAAGATGAAAGTGGATAGATAGTAAAGATGTCAACTGAGATAGGTGAGAGAAGGAGTTTGGGAGAAAGATGTGGAGTGCATTTTAGGGCATAGGGTGATTAAGGTGCCTTTGGATTGATGGTCTGGGTACAGACGTGCAGAAAGTGCTTGGAATTAGACATCTGGAGCTCAAGTCTGGGCTGGAGATTTGGGAGGGATCAGTGTGCCGGGAATGGATGAGACTGCCCAGGGAGCAGCCTTATCTAAAACCTCAAGCATTGCAAGGTTTAAGGGATGAGGAAGAAAGTGAAGCCAGAAAAAGTAAACAGAAACACTGGTCAGAAGTGGAGGAGGAGAAGCCAAGGGGGGAATTTTCAAGAAGGGGTGGCGTCAAATGCTGTAGTGAGGTAAGAAAATGAAACCATTGGAGTTGGCATTTGGGATTTCCCTGGTGACTTTTTTTCAGAGAATTGAATAAATGCAAGATGAGGAAGTGGGGACAGGGGTAGACTCCTCTTTGAAAACATTAGGCAGTGAAAGGAAGTAGAGCAATTACAAATAGGCATATATCTTAAAAACAAAGCAACAAAAGAGCTGTACAAAGTGGCACACAATCAAATGCCCAATGAGTGACAGAAGCACCTTCCAGAGTCTTTCCAAGCCACCCTGGGGAGGTGGAAAGTAAAAGAGGATGGGTAGGTGTCAGGTGCTGATCAGATGGCCCGTGGCCCACCCTCTAGGGGCAGGGAGACACAACCCAGTGTCAGAGGGGGAATAATATACAAGCTTAACATCTGGGTCACAGCTGCTGGTGGAGAAGAGAATGCCCACCACTGAGAGGATGCGGAATGGGAACAAGTTGGCTTTGTGGGATGCCCAGCTCCCTGGGAGTGAGCTCTAACAAGCTACTCTGTTGGAGCTTTCCTCCATCTTCAGTTTCAGGAACATCAAGTATATGGAAGAAGTCAAGCATTGCGTAACTTCTCTGGAAGGTTCTTTGCCTTTCAAAGTGATCTCCCTGGCCAGGTGCGGTGGCTCACGCCTGTAATCCTAGCACTCTGAGAGGCCCAGGCAGAAGGATCCCTTGAGCTCAGGAGTTCGAGACCAGCCTGAGCAAGAGTGAGACCCCGTCTCTACCAAAAAGAAAAAAATCAGCTGGGCATTGTGGAACACGCCTATAGAACACGCCTCCCAGCTACTTGGGAGGCTGAGGCAGGAGGATCTCTTGAGCCCACGAGTTGGAGGTTGCAGTGAGCTATTAATCAATGACATCACTGTACTCTATTTAGGGCAACAGAGTGAGACTCTGTTCTCAGGAAAAAAGAAAAGAATCTGAACAACCGTCCTCATAAATATATTATTAAAATTATAATTAAAAAAAAATTTTTTTAAAGTGCTCTCCAAATCCAGTGTTTTGACATGGCATGTACTGTGTCTTTCTTACTACTTAATTCCTAATCCAGAGCAGTTCTACCCCTTCCTCTCTGCCCTGGCCACCTCTGGGCTGTCTCCATCTTCCCTCTTCTCTTCTTCTCCAAATGCCTGTATTTCTGTGGTGGCAGCAGTAGGGACTGGGAAGGCAGAAGTCCTTGCCCACCCTTATCCAGCTGTGCTTTCTCTGTGAAAGGGTGGTGGTGGGGGCAGGTGGTGGGCGAGGAGTGGGAAAGGCACTTCCTTGATGGGTCGAGTTCCTGCCCGTCTCTAACGATGGCTTCAGCCAGTCCTCCGTGTTCGCCCAAGGGTACTTTCTGTTTCTACCCATTTGGGGAAGTTGCATTTTCTTGGTATTTAGGGAGCCAGGAAAAGAAAAGCCATTGGTGTTCACATCTCTCAAAGCCTCAGGTAGGGCTGCGGCTTTTGTCCAACAATAACGTATGACCTTGTGGCTGAGTCTGCACGCCTCTGACAGATAGATGTTGTGACACAGAGTCCCATTCATAGTGGAAGTGGAAATGTCAGCTTTGCCCTTTGTTAACCCTCAACTAAAGTTCTAACTGAGCAAGTAGCCAACCTTCTCGTCCCTATTTTGTAAATGGGGAAACTGAGGCACGGGGAAGTGCAGTGATTTGTGGGATTGCCTGAGGAGTCCTTCCAACTCTTGGTATAATGACATCTGCTATGTTGTCTGCGGGGAGAAAGGGCCAGGCAAGAAGAGGGCTTGACCCTGGAGACGGGAACCCCACCGCACCCCAGGGGCTGGGACTAGGCAGAAGTGACATAGTCCCTGAAGTGACGGCGACCCTGGAGCTGGCGAGGGAAGGTGGGAAGTCGGACCAAAGGCTGGAAGGAAGAGCAGTGCTGAAAGTCGGGACTGGTGTTTCTGGGAAGGTTCCTGCAGAAGGTCGGGGGTCAAGGTGCCCGTCCTCACAGCAGGGGTGCAGGCATCTTAAGGGTTAAGAGCACCCAGAGAAAATAGAAGTAAGAGGAGGAAGTGGGGCGCTGGGTCGCAGAGAGAAGGAAGCAGCTCGCCGGAGCTTCCTCTTTCTCCTCTTTCCCCGAAGCCCCCACCCCAGCCTCTCTCCCCGCGCCGCCCACCTCTCCGGAGGGGCCCAAGCCGCGCTCCCGCCCGCTTGGCAGGGCCTCACCTTCCTCCTGGGGGGTCGCAGGTGCTCGGCGCTGGCGTCCCTCTGGCCACCGCCATGCATCGGCCACTGTCTGCTCCTTCCGAGGGCAGGCGCGCTCAGGGCCGGTGGAGGTCGTGGGGTGGGGAAGCCGGACACGTCTCAGACGCTCGGCGGGCTCCTGAGCGTGACCCCTAGGGCGCCTGGGCCAGTCCGCACCTGGCTGACGCGGCCCGGCCACCAGGTGGCGGGAGAGGCCGGCGAGACGGCCAGCCCCGCCCCGGCCCCGCCCCTCCCCTCTAGCCCCGCCCCCTGCCCGCCCCGGCCCCGCCCCCGCCCGCCCCCCGCGGAGCGGAGCCGGGTTAGACACCCGGTCTTGCGCGCGGCTGCAGCTGGCGCGCGATGGTCCCGACCGCCACCAGGACTGCAGGGAGCCGCCGCTAGAGAGGGGCTCGGCGCCCGGCGGGGACTGCAGGTGTGTGGCTGGGCGTCCGCGACGGATGCGGGGGGCGCGTGTGGGAGCTCCGGGAGAGCCGGAGCGGGCTGGGCCGTCGGGGAGCGGTGGGCTCGGAGCAGCCGCTGCGGCGAGCGGGCTGGACAGGTCCTGCTGTCCTCCTGCATGGGCCACCGCGGGGGCGCGGGCCTGCGAACCCCGCAACAGATAATCCCGGAGACCGAAGGGGCGTCCCGGGGACCGTGCATCGTTATCTAGGTAGCCACGGCTGGGCGCCTCTGTGCAGCCGAGTGTGTCCGCAGCCAGCCTCCTGCCTCCGTCACAGGCCGCCTGTGTCGTGGGGTCAGGGACGCTGCCCCCCTCCGGCTGCGAGCTCTCTCGGTGAGCGTCGTCATCCGGGGCCTTGGCCATCAGGACCTGGGAGTCCTGGAAATGCCCACCTTAGCCCGCCCGTCGAGCCTCAGCATGCCCCTCTAGTTAGGGTGCTGGGCCCCCAAACGGTGGCTGCGGTTCCAGAGAACTGCTCGCTTTCTGCTGTCAGAGGATCCGTGTTGACACGCCGGGTGTCCCCGCGGGACGCTGTGCGTGCGTGTGTGGGCCCGCGCGTGCCTGCATGCCGCCCCGTCCTAGGCCCGGGGTAAATACTCAAGAAGTTCAGGTCAGTAGGAGGAAGGAGATTGTTCGGAGGGAAAAGGAAGGCGAGATGAAAGCAGCAGGATGTGGTATAAAGTGAGTTAACCAGCCCCGGAGCAGAAAGGAGAGGGGGGTTTAGGCAAAATGAGGGCTAAAAGTAAGTCAAGTCTGCCTGGAAGGTCCCTTCTGGATTGCTGTCTTCTCACCCAGCTTGCCTTCCTCCTGCCCTCAAGGCCACCTGTAAGGCACTGGTTCCTGGAGGTCTCCTGGAGTGTTCTTCAGGCTCTGGCCGCACAACACAGCTTTCCAGGGGTGGGGACTGGAATCTGTATTTTGCAAAAATTTTAATGAGCTCCTTGAGCAACGATGCTGAACCATTGCTAGGGAACCATGTGTGATGTGGAAAAGAGACCTGAGTTCCAGCCACGCCCTTCAGCATCTTTACTGCTCCACTCCCAGCCTCAGTCTCCTAATCTGTAAAATGGGCACTCATAGTGACCCGCAGGGCTGTGTGGATAATTAAATGAAGCGAGTGTGATGAGAGCAGCTGCACATGGGAGGGGCTCCATGCATGTTTGTAGAACGAAGGCTTGTGTGCTTCCTCAGTGTGGCCTTGGTGATGTGGGTCTTCACCTAGGGGCTCATGGAAGACAAAGGAGACAGTTGTGGATGGTCAAGCTCTCTCTTCCTGCTTCAGGGCACCCTCCCCTGCTTTTTGAAGCCCAAATAGCCAGGACCGTGAGGCAGGAAGGCTCAGGGTCTTTGTGTGCTGGGCATCATTGCGGTTTTAAGAACACCCCTCCTCTTATCTCGAGTTTAGGGGAGGAATGGTTGATTATCTTCCCTCCCAGCTGCAGTGGAAGCAGAACACCTCTGCCTCCCGTTTCCCTTCCCTCCCTCCCATGCACTGCTTTTTGTTTCTTTCAAGAATAGTAGGGTGGAAGCTAATGGGGGTACTGGGCGACAAGGGTCTTTGGGGTTGATGATGGCATGAGGATGAGAAGGCAGGGGGTGCAGGCTGCCCCCAACTGCCAGGGCAGTCATTGGTCATAGGCCTGCTGGCTCAGGAATGGCAGTGGAGGGGAGCCAGTAGCCTTCGCGCCCGGGCAGCCTAGAGTTCGGAAGGCGCAGCCTGTGTTCCACAGCACACTCAGGCTGCGCTGACTTGGCCTTCAGTCCAAGGGGGCTCACCCCAAGGGGCTGAGCTGGCTGGCCCTGTAGGAGCCCTGTGAACCAGAACACCTGTTTGGCTTCAGCTGGTGGGCTTGAAAGCTTGAATCAATATTTTTAAGAGAGGAAACTTCTAGAGGGGCAAGATACAATGATTATCAGCAGGTTAAGGGAGAGGCGTTTAGTTTGATTTTTGCGTCTGTGGCATAGATGGGGAGACAAAGGAAAGACTACTTCTGCCTTCTGCCAGAAAGGAAGATGATACGCTCCCTTAGCTAACACATATTACGTATTGGGATATTTCATCAATTTGAAGATATATATATTTTTTTTTTCACATTTTAGCAACTCTGAAATCAAGGTGACTCTTACTGTTGATGGGATCTTATGATTTTAATAGGCAGCAATATTTGTTCCATAGTGGCACACAAAACAATGCCTCTTGCAGTCGATGCATCTTAGATTCTATTAAATACAATATATATTACACAGATTTGGGTGTGCTTCAGACACACACAGGTACACATAGAATTATGTCATTCTCATAATTTGCATACATTAATTTTTCGAGTAGCTCTACTTTCTAAGCACCAAAACTTTTCACTGTATCTAGTTTTAAAGGATATCTTTGAAAAATATGTTGTTTACCTTTATAAATATGTTGTTTACCTTTATAAATATTAAATCATAATATTATTAAATGTTTAATAATATTAATAATTTCTTGAAAATTAATGATTTAATGATTTCTTAAAAATTGTATCATATGGTTCTAGCCTGCTCTTCTCTTTTGTACCGTGGGACTGTCTCCTCAGCACACATTTGTGGTCCCTTGTTTTTCATACTTCTTTCTGCCCCTTTCCCTTTGGCTATGATCTCATGGTGTTGGGCGTGGTGCTAAGTACATCATATCCTTGAATCTTCACAGCTACACTCTGAGGTGGCTACAGCTAATTGCACCCATTGTACAGATAAGGAAACTGAGAGCCAAGCCCACGCAACTAGCAAATGCCAGAGCTGGGCTGACTCTGGCGTGTGTTTTTGATCAGAGATGACCACGCCCGAGTGGTAGCCTGTGTGTTCCTGTGGGTGCCAAGTGCATGCTGTGTAGGGCATGACTTTGGGGCCATCCAGGTGTTTTTGTTTATTTGCTTGCTTGATTCTCAACTGGCAGCTGGTTCTGGACATTTGAGGTTATCAGTTATGTGACTTCTGGATAAGCCAGTCATCGCTATAGGCAGGTACACCCAGGAGAATGGTGGTGGCCGATGAATGGGAAGAAGTGGGTGACTTTTGTGGCACAGAGCAGATACTGGGTCCTTCTTGAGTCTTCTAAGTCTACCAGCCGGGGTGCTAGACTTTGGGCCTCGGAGTCTGGCTTCAGTGGGAGACTCCGGCCTCTGGCCTCCAGCCTCTCCTGCTGCCAGGGTGAGGTCCGGTGAGATATCTGAGCACGTTGCTTTTCAGCTGAGAAGCCTGCAGAGCTGCATTGCTCTCCGGAGAAGGCCCCGAGCCCTTGCCACGGCTAGCAAGGCCTCCCACCACCCGGCCCAGGTCCGCCCCTCCTGCTGTCTCTCCTGGAGCTCGGGCAGACCTCTGTGCCTTTACGTGTGCTGTTCCTGGTCCCCGATTGCCCTTCCCCTCTTCTTGCCTGGTGAGCTGCCCATTCCTCCTTCGGTGTCCGCCTCAAGCCTTGTGTTCTGAATCCATCCCTACTGCCCTCCTCGCCCCACGGCACTGACCCCTCCCTCTGTCCTCATAGGGATTTCTGTGTGCTCTTGCCACAGCCCCGGACAGACGCCCTGGCCTACAGGTCTGACCAGTGACTGCCACCTTGGCCTACAGGTCTGACCAGTGACATGGCCTAGCGATGGCCTGCTCACCGCAGTCACCTGATGCTCAGCATGGCATCGTGCTGTCACCAGGAAACTCACTGGGATCTCATAGGCAAGAAGTTCACACCTAGCAAGGAGGGTGGGGGACTGGGGCTGGGGGCAGAAGGGAGTGGCATGCTTTTCATTTCCGTGTCCTGCAGTGTTGCTGTTGTTGACTTAGGCAAATGAGCTAGTGTGGTTTCCTCGTGGGGGCAGGGCTGAGGTGTGAGGGCTGAAGGTGCTTTCTAGGATCCTGCCCTACTTGGAGCCGAGGGCCTTGTTTCCGCCTGGCTCCTCCGCGCCTGGCCACGTGAACTTGGCTCGGTCTCCGTGTGCCTGTCTGGGTGCGGTTTCCCCGTCTGTAAGATGAAAGTGCAGCACTCGATGCCTCCTGCAGCCTCTCCCTAACCTGTACTATTCAGCTCACTCGCTCAACGCTTTTGCATGTGCTCGGCTGCGAGGACGCGATGCAGGACAGATCGCGATGCAGGACAGATGGCATTCCTGCGCTCATGGAACTCAGAGCCAGGTGCGCAGGACACGCATCTTGCACATTGTTTATTTGCAATCGTGAGAATTACGGGATGCAGGGAGATTATGGAAAGGGAGCCTAATATAGTTTGAGAACTAAGGAAAGCCTTCCCTGAAGAAGCCATACTTGAGTGAGACTTGAGAGCTATGCAATAAAACAATGGTGATGATGATAATAATACCTATCATTTGGTAAACGCTTGCTAAAGTCTCATTGGGTGCATTTTCTCAGGCATTCTTTTCAGCAACTCTGTGGGGTCTGTGGGCTTCCTCTCCTGTGAGCAGGAGAACAACACTGCTGGACAGGTGACAAGTCCCCAGCTCCGCCGTGTCTGCCATAGACCAGGGATGCATTCCCCTACTCCTCTGCCTCTCCCCATACGCCAAAGTCCAATTTATGGGCACTAAGGACATAAATGCTATTGTGGGGTCGCTTTTCCTTTCCACTGCCCATTGCCTGGGAGCCTGCCCCCTCTGCACATGCATGTCTCCATCAACAGCTAGGGGAGGGCAGTCCACAGCAGACTCCACGGCGCTGACCGCGGGCCCTTCGTTCTGTCTGTCTTAGGAGCTGCTGTTCTGCTAGGGTTCCGAAACCCAGATCCCGATTTTCTGTCTCATCTAAGAAGTCATCTGTTCAGTTCCCACATCCTTCTCCATCCAAAGCCATCTCCCAGCACCGTGAAGTCTGTGCAGACGCATCACTGGGTTTTTGGTCTGAGCATTTGTCCCTGCATGGCTTGGTGGTTTGGCTCTTGTCAGGCAAATCCCCACACAGCCACTTCCACCCGACCTGCCGAGGCAGCCACGCTC